CGCAGGCTTCGCGCGTCCTGCCAGGGGCGGACCCAGGGCCCCCAGGCGCCCGCCTCCGCTGCGGATAGCCGCTTACGTCAGAGAGGCAAAACCCAGAGGAAGAAGGGGGAAAAAGAAAACGACACGAGGGCGGAAGGGGAAAAACTTTATTTTTTCTCCTATTCTTTTCTGGGGCTGAAGTGAAGAGCAGACGACTGCGCCAGTGCGGGCTTCCCGGAGAGACCCAGGCGCGACCCCAGCCCGCCGCGAGCGGAGGAGCTGGGCCCCGGAGGCCCGAAGGGGTACCCGGCATGTGGGACCCTCAGGACTTTGAGCGCCACTGGCAGGCCGAGTTCCCTGGAGAGGAGGCGCCGGTCCTGCAGCTGGACTCGGTACTGGACATAGAGCGGGAGCTGGAGCGCTGCAAACTCAACCTGAAGCGGCTGCAACAGGTGTTGGCAGAGGAGAAGTTTAAAGTCTTCTACCTGCAGGCAGCCCTGGCCGGGGAGAAGCCGGAGGTCGGCGGCGGGCCCCTTGAGGGGGAAGACGGGGGCAGCGAGGGAGCTTCGGCAGCGGAGCCGGCGCCAGCCGGGCCCGAGCGGGCACAGCCACCACGCGAAGAGGCGGGCGCAGGGGGGGGCTGCGGAGACACCCGGGATCTTGCGTGCCGGGACCCGGAGGTGGCCGTCAGGGCAGAGACTCCTCCATACGTTTGCATGGATCTTCCCACCTGTCCCGGGGCAGCAGGGGCCGGGGGAGCGGTGCGCAGCTTGACTGCCGCCATCCACCAACAGCTGCTGCAGCCTCGTCTCCTCTTCAGGCCCCGAGAAGACTGTGCGCTTCCCGGTCACGATGGCATAGTTCCCAGCGCCCCAGAGCGGTCCTCTGGGACTCGCGCAGGGCGGGGATCGGAGGAGGGCGAGCTGGCCGCCTCGGGCGCGGACGATGGGGGCGACAGCAGTGACCACGACTTCGAGATGGTGGATTGGAACGAGAAATTCGTCCTAGGCCACTTGTTCGTGGCCCCCTGCCGGCTTGGGACCCGTGATGAGGCCGAAAAGCCGGTGCGGGCGTGCAGCCCCCATCGCTGGATGCACCTGATCCCCGGGGGTCGGCGGCAGCAGCGGAAGAGCCGCGACCTAGAGCAGCTAGAATCAGAGGCCAAGGACGGGCTGGGCTCGCCCCTAGCAGTGGACGAGCACCCCCGGCGCGGGGCCCGTGAGCACCTCCCCCCATGGCGGCGCAAGAGATTCCTGCGGATTCCCGAGTGGGACTCGCCCAGCCATAGTTCGCCAGAGAGGGGCAGTGACTGCAGCCACAACAGCTCGGACCACGAAGACGGCTCCTCTGCAGGTAGGCGCACCCCGCTCTAGATCCCCGCCTTGCATCTCCTGGGGGGCTGCTGGCTGCCTCCTGCATCCCATTCCTGGCACATCTTATTGGTCCTGTTTTACCTCAGACTCCTGGCTAGAAGGGATGTAAGATTTATCTGTTCACCTTAAAGCCACTTGTGTAACTGAAAAAAAGATAGTGCAAGGTGATTTCAGCTTGGGCGAGTTTATGAAAATAAGCATTGTGGTGATGGCAGGAGGGTGAGGGAATGGTGCACTTGGCCAGACCATGGGAGGAATCTTTCATTAGGCCTCAGCCTTTCTGCTCTATTGCAACATTACCATTCTTGTCCCTTCCCACTAATCTTCCACAGGTTGGCCAATCATTCCTTTGCACAGGTAATGATAGTATCCTTCTCTGCATAAACTCCAGTCGCTCCCATTTCTCCTGGATTCCTCGATGTAGAAGTCTAGGTCTTCCACTTAATTTTCTGAACATCTCTCTCATTTTCTCCAGCCTATATTTATGTTTGGGCCAAATTGAAACAGACTCTGGGTGGGGGTTGGTGTACATAATCCTCACTGCCTGCCTACCTTTGCTGACTAGCCCCCTTCCTTGCACTTGATCTGTAGCTTCCTAGAAGACTAGGAGTCCTGAGTGGGAAGGGAAGGGCTTAGAATCATAGAGTCTTCATGCTGGCCTAGTGCCCAGAGATCATGTCTCGTGCTCTGCCCTCTCTTCTGAGAACAGGACATGGTCTTAGCCATCTTTGAATCTCCTTGTGATGGTCAGTATGGTGCCTTGCACATAGTAAGTGTTCAATAAAATATTTCTTGAATAAATGGATGATTGCATTAAACTGTCTCCCACCCAGCCCCTCATAGGTTAAGGAGTGGGAATGGGGCTAAAGAGGAAAGGACAGGGATGTGGGGTGGCCTGTGAATGTCCCTTTGGTGCCCTAGGGACCGTCAGGGTCTCCTCAGCCACAGTGAAAGCATAAATTGGTGTCTGGTTAGTTCAAGCTGTGATCAGAAACTTCAGATTCTTTCCTGCTATGTGAAGGAAGGAAAAAGAAAAAAGAAAAAAAGAAATCACTGATGCTGGGATTGTTCCAAAATCTCCATTATTAGATCTTATCGGGTAAGTTTGCGTTTGAATGAAAAACTGTCCACTTTGCTAAAAGCACATTGGAAGGTCCATCAAGTCATCTGTTGTGATCAATTACACTTATTCATTAGCAGAGATTGGCTGCTTTTCCCATAGGTCATGCTTTTGCCTCCTGTGCTAGTAACATATTTTATGTGCCCATTTAACTTAAAGGAAGAGTCTGAAGATTTCACTCTAATGCCAAGTTCCAAATGCCCTCAGTGGAGGCTACTCAAGTGGCCCAGAGCTGCTTCAGAATTGGCTCGAATCCCATCTCTACTCAGTTCCACATCAATCACCCTGCCGGGTATGCCCAATGCACTGGATTTTCTCCAGAGAGTGACTTATTTTTGTGAACTGTCTTCTTTCTAAAGACACCTTACCACATAGAGCACCTTGATGCAGATTAGGAATTTATCATTTCTTCTGGCCTAACGATTTACAGAAGGTCCCCCTTTTGGGTGGATCGATGATTAAAAAAAAAAAAGAAGAAAAAGAAAAAGGTTCTCCTTCCTTTAGACTGAAGACTCCAACCAGGGCACATGTCTGGCACTTATGGTTTTGGCTAGTGGTACCTGGGCCGTATTTCTAGCCCCATCTCAAGATCTTTCTGCAAAGCAAGTTTTGTAGGGAATCCCTGTGCAACTGCATGTGGGGGCCCTGCCTACTGTCTCCAAAACCTCCCCAGTGAGAAGATGAATAGGAGTGGACATGCATATGCATACATGTATGCACAAACATCCACACACTCCTATACATGTATACAACTGTGCACACAATCACACACATGTGTGCATGGGTATGCAATCTAGGAGAAAGAGCCTTAAGACATACAGAGAGGCACTAGACTGGAGGGATTAAGGGCAGGTGTTTTCACACTGTGAGTGACAGCCCACTGAAATCAGTGTGATGAGGAATAAAAGCATAGCCAGGCCTTCCTTGGCCATCCTTGTCTGCCCTTGCTTTATTTTTCCCCATCATACTCACCAAATTACCACCTTAGATGGTAGGATTTTGCATGTGGATCTTATTCATCTTTTTCTCTAGTAAAATGCAAGCTCCAAGAGGACAAGAATTTTTATCTCTTTTATTCACTGACATAGCTCCAAAGTTTAGAATAGTGTCTAACATATAATAAGTGTTCCATACATATTTGTTGAATGATATATTCTTTTAATGGGATGGACTAGAATAGAAAACATCAGACTGCATTGCACATGGTAACGGCATTTTTCTGTTTAAAAAGTTTGTTTCGATTATGTATAAATGCGTGAGTGTATCCTGCATCCTGATATAGAATGTATTTCTTGCTGTAGGTAGGACAAAAAGCTTCGAAAATGCTGATGAAGACCATGGGCTCTGAAGCTAGACTGCTTGTGTGACCTTGGGAGAAGTTATTTGAATTTTCTATGTCTCAGCTTTCTCATCTATAAAATGAAGCTAATAAACGCTGCTTATCTTTTACTATTGATGTGAAGTATAAATGGAATACTATTTCTAAAGGACTTTGAACAAGTCCTGGCACATAGCTCCTGCTCTAAGTACTTTACACTAACTATGACTACAGGTTGTTTTCTTTGAGTTGATGCTTCAAAGATCATTCTAGATCTTTGAAGATCATCTATATCATTCTGGATCACAGATGGTGTGTTTTCCTATGATGAATGTATTTTTCTTGGCAAGGCTCTAGCTCTTTCTAGAACGTTCCGGGCAGCAGGGAAAGACCCAGGGCAGAGTGGTCATCCTAGTTTGTGAGGCATTCTTGCTGGATTGGCCCTCATGTTGTTTCTCTCTTTCCATCAGCAATCATGCCCATTTTCTTATTTTATTTTTTAAATTTAATTTAAAAAATTAAATTTATTGGGGTGACATTGGTTAATAAAATTATATAGGTTTCAAAAGGTACAATTCTATAATACATCATCTGTATATTGAATTGTGTTCACCACCCAAAATTAAATCTCCTTCTGTCACCATATATTTGACCCCCTTTACCCTTTTCTATCTCCTTTCCCCACCCCCATTACCCTCTGGTAACCAGTAAACTGTTGTCTGTGTCTATAAGTTTGCGTTTGTCTTGTTCATTTGTTGCTTTCAGTTTTTATATTCCACGTAAGTGAAATCACGTGGTTTTCAACTTCTTCCGTCTGAGTTTTTTGACTTTGCATGACAATCTCAAAATCCATCCATGTTGTCTCAAATGGCAATATTTTATCTTTTCTTATGGCTGAGTAATATTCCATTGTATATAAGTACCATATCTTTATCCAATCACCTATCAAAGGGCACTTCGGTTGTTTCCATGTCTTGGCCACTGTAAATAATGCTGCAGTGAGCATAGGGCTGCATATATCTTTACAGATAAATGTGTTCAAATTTTGGGGATAGAAATCCAGAAGAGAGGGATTGCTAGGTCATATGGTAATTCTTTTCTTAATTTTTTGAGGAACCTCCATACTGTTTTCCATAGTGGCTGTACCAACATACATTCCCACCCAGCAGTGTATAAGGGTTTCATATCCCCCAAAACTTCTCCAACGCTTGTTATTTCCTGTCTTGTTGATCCCATTTTCTGTATTCAGATATCCTTACCTGAAGATTGGATTTACTGGGCAATTCAGGCTTTGCCTTCCTCTCAGGGTTTCAAGGAGAGAGAACACAGGAGACCTCTTGTAAGGCCCAGAGGCAGAGGGGCTCCCTGCCTTAGAAAAATGCTCTTTTCTCTCTGATGACAGGCAGATCCCCACACCAAGACACATTTTTTTTTCTACATATAGTAGCCAAATCAGAGTTTAAATAAATTAGAATGCCTATTCTTTAATATCTTCCTTTTAGCACCTCGTGGCCTTGATTAGTACCAAGAAAAACTAGGCCATGTTGCCATAGATGAGGGTGATGATGTGAATGGGATGGGTTGGGGACTATAGAGCTAGAATCAGCTGTGTTGGGTCATGTGTGCAATGAAGTCAGACCTGTGTCTGTGCCCTGTCTCTGCCCCTCACTAGATGTGAGGCCATGGGCAAGCCACTGACCTTTCTCATCTATTAGATGAGAATAACGAGAATAGCTAACACTTACTGAGGGCTTACTTTGTGTCAGCTCCTGTTCTAAGTACTTTACACATACTAACTCATTTATACCACACAACAGCTTCATGAGATGACCAGTAGGATTATTTTTATTTTACATATTAGAATCTTGAGGCCCAGAGAGCTTCAATAACCCAGTCCCAGGTCACCCAGCTTATAAGTGACATTTAGGATTTGAACCCAAGCAGTCTGACTCCTGAGCCTGTGCTTTCAAATAATAGCAGCTACCCCTTGGTAGTTAAGTTTAAATACAATAAAATATTTAAAGAGTTTAACAAAGCATTTGTTAAGTGCATATATGTGTGCGTGCATTATTATTTTCTTTACCGCTAAAGTCCCCATCAAATCAATCCATCTGCTGCTAAGGTCAACCATCAGGGCTGCTGCCCACCCGTGGGGCTCTTGGGTGGACTTGGCCTCACAGATAAACAGACCACCTGCTGGATTTGAGACCTCCTCTCCTCAGCTGGGCACTCTTGGGCAGCCACAACTGCATGTCCTCATTTTTACCTTTCATGCTGACATGCTTCTGGACCACTCTTGCCATAGAGGTTGAAAGGTTTGTCCTTCTCAGGGTTTATGCATTCCTTCCACAGCCTGTAGCGTCCCTGTACCACACATGCACTCCTTCTGGACCAAAGTACACCCTACTAGCAAAGCCCAAAAGTGGCTTTTAGAGTCAGGCATCCTTTCGCCTGGTTTTAGTTCAGATGACGAAGTAAATATCATTAATATTTTTAATTGGTAGCATTTTCTCCTGCATTAAACTCTGTTCAGCGGAGGACAAGCAGTCTCTGTTTTTGCTGGCTCTTGGAATCCATCCATCCATCCATCTATCCATCCATCCATCCATTCATCTCACTCAACAAGGATTTATCAAGGTCTTACTTCAAGCCTCTGTGTTAAGGGCCAAGACTGCAAAGATTCTCACTGACTTTTTGGCTCCTGGGGTAGAAACCATAGGTTTTTAGATAAAGAAACAACTTCCCAGCAGATAACTTGTTAAATCTTGAAATGAGCAGCTAATGAATTGTTATTTAGAACCTCAGCAACATTCAAGAGCCTAAAACAAGAGGAGATCTTAGAGTTGGTCTCATCATCTTGCCCCTCTCCAGACAGGTGAGGACCCCAGAGCCCTTAAAAGTAACCTCAAGGTCACATGCTCATGACCCTCAAGGCAGGGCCTACGAGCTAGATCTAGGCTCTTTCCTTTGTACCCTATGGCCTTTTCTTTCCTAGGATTTTAGGCTGAGAACACTAAAGATGTGAGTTCTGTCAGAGTTATAGTAACAGCAGACCATCTTGTTTAGACTTACAGTGCGTGGAAATGATTAGTCCCATTTTATAGGTGAAGATGCTGAAGCTTGGAGAAGTAAAGAAATTTACCCAGAGTCAAACAGCTTGTATGATGTCAGCACTTGAACTTTGGTCAGTCTTATAAAGCTGACACTTTAACTTCTAGCATGTAATATTGTCCCGGGCCAGCTATAGAATCCTCGATTTCTCAACATGGGAGGCCTTGCCAGCAGATTCTGCCAAGCTGCCGAGGGAGATTTTTTATTTTTAATCTTCTTGGGAAATGCATTTCCTGCCAGGTACTCATGTTACCTAGGTCGTTTGAAACCTGACTTTTTTCCCCCCTTCCCATTAGTGACTAATGAGATTTTTTGCTCCAGAAAGAATTCCTGTGTTCAGCGGATGTGTTTGAATAACTTAATTCAAAGTATTGAATTTTCAGCGTTTGCTGTGATAGAGTAATTTTTTCCCCATTCCCTGTTGCGGAGAGTTATTAAAAAACTATTTGAGACACATGAGCTGGTGGCTGGCTGTGATTCATTTGTAACTGGAGTCGACATTGCATCACTGTTTCCTTGGTTCTTCAATGTTGGCCTCCCCCCTCCCCTCACCCCCACTATCTTAGCCTCAGCCACACCTCAGGATCAGAGGGCAGTGGGAGGGTTTGTTTAACAATTCCTTCCTCCTCTACAAGTAGTAAATGCAACTAAGTCTGAAAACTTTTCTGTTCCCCTAGTCTGTTTTTATTCTGGTTAAGAAACTGTTCACAAAGCAGTTGGCTCTATATATGATTCTAGATCTTTGTATTTTAAAAGTTAGGATCTTCATACATTCTCCTGGCTTTGAAATAATGGTACAAACATTTTCTGCATCTGAAAATTGGGCTCGATGTTCCCCAGCTTGAAGGTTGTGGTTTACGCTGAATAAGTTACTGACTTTCTCTAAGCCTCAGGTTTCTGTCTGCCAAGTGGAGGTGATAACGATAGGACTATGTCATAGACTTGTGAAGTTTCAATGAGATGATGTGTTTAAAGTGTACAGCACACGGGCAGGCACATAAGTGTTTAATAAATCTTGGATAGTGTTATTTTTGCTGTTCTAAGTACAGGAATTGTCAATTGGCTGAACCAAGCCACAGCTCATATTCACATCTCTTTATGTAATGAAGTTCCCCAAGCCTCTTTGTCTACCTCTTCCTCTTTTTTTTCTCACCACCCTCCAGGTCCAGAGGTGTTTTGCTCCTTTGGAGGGAGACAAGTTTTCTTGTTCCTTTATAGTCCCTGGTCTTTTCCCAGTCAAGTCCTGTATTCCTCCAACATCTTTAAAATGTCATCTGGCTTCTTATCTTCTACTCTCTACCCACTTGCTTTCAGGCAGTGCCCATTCCTGCCAGTGTCTTTTCTGTGTTCTTTCTGGCATTTGAGATGCCCTCCCACCTCCATTTGCCCAGTCACAAAGCCAACCCTTCCTTTAATACCTGGCTTTTTCATGGAACCTTGTATTGTTTCAGATATGGGTTTGCTGCATAGGACAAAATCTCGAAAAGTAGTTTAAGCAGGATAGTGGCTTATTTATCTCCCATGTAAAAGAATTCCAGAAGTGAGCAGTCCAGGGAGAATACTGTGACTTTACTGTCATCGGAAATTCAGGCTTCTTTTTCTTCTCTGTTTTTCTGTCTCAAGGTTGCCTCATGGTCCAAAATAGCCACTAGAAATCCGGCCATCACATTCATGTTTCAGACATGAATTAGAAGAAAGGAGGAAGGACATAAGAGTGAGTGACAGCTGTTGGTCTGCCTTTTAAGGCACTTTCCTGAAAGCCTCTCTTGAAAATTTCTGTTTAGATCTCATTAGCCACCTCTAGCTCCAAGGGAGCCTGGGAAATGTAGTATTTTATCTAGGCATATGGCCACCTTATATAAAATAGGGGCTCTGTTACAGGAAAAATGGAAGAATTGATATTGAGCAGGCAACTTGCAGCCTCTGGCACAAGCCTTTTCCAACTACTCCAACCCCTCTTGTGGTTCTTAGAGCGAGCCCCACACTCACACAATTGTCTTATTATTGTGCCATCTATTAATTC